TATGGAATAAAATAAAGCAAAAATAAACCACAAAAATGAGAAAAAGAAAAGCCCTTCACACTAATAAGTCGAACAATTAGTTACATATTATTGCAAAAGAAGTCTCATTCTCGAAAGATACACAATATGGTAAAAAAACAACTATAATATCATGAAATCATTAAATTTGGTGACCATAGTGATACTAAACTCATTTTTGGAAACTATTTAAATTGGATTAACATCAGTTTCTTTATCATTGCGAAGGAACAAGTGGGTCCCAGAAAGCCTTTTTTTAATACTCTCTAATTAATAAATTATGGAAAACGCCTCTTGTACATTGCTGGTACAGCTTTGTGTACAGCAATTCGAAAATGGTTGATATAGACCGGGAGCTGGTAATATAGACCGCAACGTGAAAATCTTCGTACTGAAGAATGATCGCGAACGCGAATTCTAGTACATATGGACCTATTTCGGTGATGAAATGGTTGAAGGAATGACAGAGAAAGGTAAGATGATTCTGTGTATGTTTTGCACAAGTTTTGGCTTGTGACGGTATTCTTTGGTTGCTCTACTCGTGAAGAATTTTTCTTAATAGGTTTGGGGGGGCATTCAAGGCTGTACAAATTATAGACATGTTAAGCTCGAGTCATAGAATGAAATTTTAGTTGAGGAGAATTATTTTGTAACTGGGAGGCTTTAAACAATCAATTTGTTGTTTTGTTGGGAAAATGTGATATAGAATCAACTACCTGCTTTAGAAATTTGATGATGAAGTAACAGAGAAAAAAAACATGAATGAACATAGAATACTTGCAAGTACAGTTTGTCCACTTTGCACCTTCATAAAAATACTTGCAAGTACAGTTTGTTCACTTTACGAATGCACTCGAATTGCATATGATAAATAGATTTATTGATATACATGTTATCTCATTTCTAATATTTATGAAATCAGAAATTCGTTAAAATATTAATTTGATTGTAGAGCTAATCATGTTCCCATTTAATGCGTTGTAGGAGAATAACTAGTTGAAGTATCAGACGATAAAGTTCTTGTACAATCCAGTAATAGGGGTAATATCGAAAATGTAGTCACATTGGAAGATGATGTATTAGGAGAAGATGGTACGACTGTGCCGGAGGTGGGAGGAGATGGTACAATTGTGCTGGAGGTGGGTATGAAGTTCAAAGATGAAAACGAGATGTACAAATTTTACAAGAAGTATGAGTATATCGTAGGTTTTTCGGTTAGGAAAAGAAATTTGAGGAGGAGGAGGATGGAGTAGTGAGATACGTTACGTTGACATGCTGTTGCGAGGGTTGTAGAAGTAGTAATACAAGCACTTCTTTGAAATCGCAACCAACAATTCAGACGAGTTGCAAAGCAAGGCTAACTGCTTCTTCGGATATCATGGAGTATGGAAAATTTTCACAGTGTGTCTCGAACACAATCACAAAACAAGTCCTTCGAAATCGAGATTGTATCAATGCAATCGAGAGTTGAGTGCAAATGTAAAACGCAAGTTTGAAGTGAACGATATGGCTAAAATTTCTTTACACAAGAGTTGCAACTCTGCAGTTGTTGAAACTGGTGGGTATGAGAATATGACCTGCATGGAAAAAGACTGTCGAAATTACGTTGAACAAGTGAGGCGTTTGAGACTAGGTGAAGGAAATGCCGCAGTAATACAATCGTACTTTTCACAAATGCAGGCACAGTGCTCGAGATTTTACTTTTGTCTCGATTTGGACGAAGAGTCACGGCTTAAGAATGTGTTCTGAGGAAATAATAAGTGTAGGCTAGCGTATAAGGAGTCCAGTGATGTGTGACCTTCAAGACGACATATCTCACTAATAAATATGACATGCCTTTTACTCCCTTTTTCGGAGTAAATCATCACGGACAGTCAACACTTCTGGGATGTGGTCTGTTATCAAATGAAGATACCGATACATTTGTGTGGCTGTTCAGGACATGGTTGCAGTGCATGCATAGTGAACCTCTTAATGGAATTATTACGGATCAAGATAAGGCTATGCAAAATGTAATTGAGATAGTCTTTTCAAATACGAGGCATGGATGGTGTTTATAGTACATCATGAAGAAGTTACCTGAAAAGTTTGGGTACCACGTTGACAAAGGCGGAATATTTTTGTCCATACATGGATTAGTGTACGATACGCAGCATGTTGATAAATTGAAGTAGGTCGGGAAATTATGCTCGATACATATAACTTACATGACAACGAATGGTTGTTGGGGTTGTATGAAAATAGGGATCGTTGGGCGCCATGCTATTTGAAAATGACTTTCTGGGCAGGGATGTCAACAACTCAACGTAGTGAGAGGATGAATGCATTCTTCAATGGGTATATGCATTCGAAAACTTCGTTGAAACAATTTGTTGAGCAATACGAACGGGCATTAAGAAGTAAAGTGGAAAAGGAATTCCAGGCAGATTTTAAATCATTTTCGCAAATGGTGCCTTGTGCAACAAAGTATGAAATGAAAAAACAATTTCAATCAGTTTATACAATTTCAAAGTTCCGAGAATTTGGGGATAAGGTAACTGGGAAGGTGTATTGCAATGTGATGTCTACAATTGATAACCACTCGGAGAGGACGTATAAGGTTGAGGAGGATGTCATTCATGGAGAAATGGTGAGGAAGACAAAGTTTTCTATCACATTTCGTGCAGAGGAGTGCAATATTATTTGCAATTGTCACCTATTCAAGTTCTGTGGAATTTTGTGCAGACATACCATATCAGTGTTGATGCGTAACAACGTCACATCATTACCGAATAAGTACATATTGAGGAGATGGAGAAAAGACGTCAGTAGAGCCCACAGGAGGGTTAATGGTCTACTAGCACTCCTAGCCAGTTGAGATATAGTAGAATGTGTGAATTGTTCACTACACTGACCAATATTGTCGTAAATGATGAAGATCGAACTCATGTAATAATAGAGTGGATTCAAACACAATCTAAAGACACAGAGCCCACGAAGTCCCGTTGCGAAAGTAATAGCATTTCCCAACCTAGTTTGCTTTTAGGGTCACAATCAAGAGCATAGAAAGATACGGGCAGTGGGGCCATACAAGATTCTAAATGTTCAAAAAGGAAAGGCACGCCTAAGAAATTACGTGTTAAATGCGCATTGGAGTCCGGCTCCAAGAATGCAATTTAATTGCACACTTTTCTCATCTGTGTCATAAGTTTATAAGTACTAATTTGAACTTTGCACATTATTTTCTCATCTTCTAGGCGAGATCACGAGGGACAGAGAGAAATCTTCAACCCGATGCACCTTCCCAAATGATCCCATCGTAAGCACAATATTTGATGCCACCACCATTCCCGTATTCACAGGTTACATTTGCAAAGTTCCTAAAAGTATTTACTGTATTGTAGGCATGTTTGATATTCGTTTGTTCATGTCAAGTAGTGCGAAGGGGAAAGTAACACACTATCACACCAATTGCCATCTTCACGTTTCAGTCCCATGTCAACTTCAAATGTTTTACCTATTTGGCAAGGTAATATGGTTTCGAATGTATTTTTAGCACATTTAGACATTAATATCTTGCACTTTTCATGTTTATGTCAGGCAACATACGACAGTACTACCATCCCGATTTTTCTTACAATGGTGCACACATAGACGTTGTTGACGATTTATTGAGACCATCCGCAATGGGTGTTTTCCCTCGGGGATTTCACACTGTAAGCTACGTAATTTTTTTACCATATGAATGTGAAATTTTTGTTTCTTCTCCAACTAACTTCCGGTAACTTTATGAATATAGTCATTCTAGCCGTCACCTTCTCCAAGTGCTATAGCGGGTTGGATGTTAAGTGCCACATATTCTGTTCCTCAGGTTGGTATTGATGGAGACCCTTCAAGTGTTGTTGACATACCAAGTTCTGGAACGCCGTATCTAGTGACACCCAATCCGTGGGATACATCTCCATAGGGTGTCTGATCTACTTCATGACCGTGGATGCTAGTTTTGGATATTCTTGATTTACATATTTTTGTCAATTATTAGTATGCATCAAGCTTGTTTTGTGTAATTGCATCGAGGCTTCTAAATTGGAGATGAATTTAAGATCATTTGTAAACTTCACCAGTGTTGTGAACCTTGATTGTCATTGGTATCTTGGCCTTTACACTACTATGTCTTTTATTCATGTTAATTGGTATAAAGAAGTATGGTGACATTTTTACTTCTTTTCTTCTCTTCATTTTCAGAACAGGAAATTCTGAATTATCTTTAGTTCCATGTGTTTTTTTCACTTGTTTAGTTTTCGAAAGAAGTACCAAAATGTTGATGCATAAACCTTGCACAAACCTTTCATTTCAAATAAAATCAAAAAAATACTTTCAACCTTTCATTCTCACAAAAAAGCACCGGTTCATTAGGTCCATTGTGAAGCATTGAGCTGTTCTTTTGTTTGATCTTACATGAATGTGGTGACTAAATCTTGTTAACCTAACTTCTTTATTGTACGTTTGCAACTGAGTCGGGAATCAACTCTGCAGCAGTTCGACAAAGTAAACAGAATTTTATAATACTATCTCACATTTCTAACTCCATAGACCTATTACAGAACTTAAAAGATGGCGATAATTTTACCGAGGTAATTAGGATCTCAGTGGACTGAAATGAACATTAAAAAACATTATGATAATTCAAGAACAATGAGTAGCAAAAAAAAAAAAAAAAAAAACCACAAGCGTATCATTCATACATGCGTCATTACAAACAGTTAAAGAAGTTTAGATTTACAATCTTGAATGATCACGACATACAAACCGTTGGATCATCGTCCTAACACATCAACTTTTACATTTCATTTTCTGCGAATTTTATACTACCATCTCACATTTCTAACTCCATAGACCTATTACAGAACTTAAAAGATGGCGATAATTTTACCGAGGTAATTAGGATCTCAGTGGACTGAAATGAACATTAAAAAACATTATGATAATTCAAGAACAATGAGTAGCAAAAAAAAAACCACATCAACATAGTAGCGTATCATTCATACATGCGTCATTACAAACAGTTAAAGAAGTTTAGATTTACAATCTTGAATGATCACGACATACAAACCGTTGGATCATCGTCCTAACACATCAACTTTTACATTTCATTTTCTGAAACTCGTTTCCCTTTGCATATGTTTCTTTGGAGAGAAATCTCCAGGTCTTTTTCCTTGCTTAGCTTAGCAAGCGTTTTCGACATATGCGACAAGTATCCACGTCTTCACCTGCAGTTGTGATGCAACCTGATTCACCATCATCATGCAATAGACACTTTTCATCGAGGAATTTGTTGCGCCATTTGAAGTACCTACAGTCACGAGTACAACAATGAAACAACAATCTTTTATGGTCATTGCTCTTTTCGACAATTTGGGCATCTTCTCTTTGTCGGGCATTCCGATAGTGTATGTCCCCTCTGTCGACAACAATGACATATTCCCCCATTCTTGCGTGCCATCGAACTTATCTAATTCAACGACATGAAACAACTACACCAATATGTAACCATATTAGTATCTTCACTAATTTGGATAAAGGCAATAGGACAGGCAATAACAAACAGAAAGGCAGCGAGATATTTCATTTTTATTAACTTTCCATGGTATATTACTGATAGCAAATATTGCAAACCCAATGGCTACTGAAATCTACACTTTATGGACCTATAAAGAGATTATGAAGTTAAGTAACTTTGGCAGAGTATAGAATGCACCAGCAAGAACAATAATTTTCCACTTATGAAAATGGTCTCAACTATGAGAAAGAACAAGAATAGTCATAACAAGTGATATCCTTACAATCAAATGTAGTGTAACTTTCTAGTACTTTTTGATAGCCAGATACTCATACCTTTTCATTTTCCCCTTTCTTTCCAAATTGGTTTTAACTCAATGCCTCTCCATAACTTTCCTTGTGTATTCACATATGGTAGCTAGGTTTTAAATCTAATTTTAATTGTCTTCGGTTCATCTACAATTGACAGGAGCAGAAACTAAATTCACCTAAAATTTACGAACTTTTCTACTCCCATTAGCTTCTTTTTTACAGAAAGAAATCATAAGCAAATTAAAACATGATTCAAAATCCTACTCGGAAAAACCTTTTATTAACTTTGCATATATTCGGTAATAACGTATTCAAAAACCTAATCTCTACTCTCCCAAAATTAAGTAATGCCAAACGTTAGACAAAAATATCTCAAGCGAAATTGAAACAATTGGAGAAAACTTACAGCGAAAACAACATAAAAATCACAGAAAATGTTTAACCCCTATACAAACATTAATTCTTCATTATTCAGCCCGACCCGTTGAGGAAAATAAACACCGACCCGTTGGAAAAAATATTTTATAAGCGTCAAGCCACTACTTCTCTTTCCGTTCAGCCCGTGATCGGAGGAGGCGATTATTCGGGTTGTCGCCTGGATTTATGGTTGGCTCTGCGTTATTCTTCGTCAATGGGTGTCACCTGGATTTATTGTTGGCCAGCTACACATACAAGGAGAAGAAATCGTAGATTTGAGAGGATTCGATTTGGGGAAGATATTGAGAGGTTTCGATTTGGGGATGAAATGAAGCAAATGGGAGACAAACTTGGGCTTCAGTCGGGTCAGCCACCGTAAACAGTCATTTAAACACCTTTTTTTTTTTCTTTTCATTTTCCATGTCAGCACTGTACACAAAGCTGTGCACAGTGCTATACGTGTAGCGGGATCGATAAATTATTATCTCAAAATTCATTAATAGTCAAACATAATGATTGATTAAAATGTCTATAAGTAATTCAATATGAAAATAGGGGTTATATACTCTTTATTTCAATCTTAATATGATAATTTATTATTGGTGAAAGTCAAAAAAAAAAAAAAGATAGAAGCGCTATCATTTTCCTTTGGCAACGGTCAAATAACTGAGTCAAATATTGGCAAAATCTCTCTCGAATAGGCGCTAAGTATAAAATTTGGTGGATATGGTAAAACAAACTCAAATTAAGTGGTCAAGGTGACACGGGTATAAAGTTGGGTGGTCATTGATGTAGTTATCCCNTTTTTCATCTAATCTCTACTCTATCTATTAATCTACCTTCTCTTAAAAGTGGGGCTTTAGGATCATTGTTTCAATTTGTCACAATCGTTTTCATACACTATTTCTAAACTGGCTTCCAAAATTGGTTTGGTGCTATTCACTTCGAGATATCTCATTCATGTATACTTTTTCATTTAATCTTTACTCTATCTATTAAAGAGAAAAATGCCGACAACTTTCGTCCCACTGGCAATGATCCTACTGAAGATGATGAAGACAATGAAGAAGTGAGTCGGATGAGGAGCTCAAGTGTGACTATGCACAAACGATACGACAGAAGAAACACATTATAGTAAGAATATTTTTGTTTGTTTTTTGGACATTGTTGATTCTAATTTGGGTTTTATAAATCTCTTTTGAATGTGGGTTCAAAAAAATTTGATATTTTTCCAGGTTTTTGATGTGTTTGGGAGTTGTGCAGGTCTGATTGTATGTAGGAAGCTCTATGCAAAGACAGTGGCCTGCATGTGATTTTGATATAGATTCTTCAACTTTTCAAGATCAAATTTTCAAACTAGATCAACGAACGGATTTCAATTTAAAGGTCTTTTATCTATTTCTATAATTTCGGTTTTGTATTATGTTTGGGTATTTTTACTTTCTCTATTTCTATATATATTCTTGTCTCTGGGTGAATGAATTATTATTTTATTGTAATTCAGATTTTATGTTATGTTTTTGGAAGAAACTTTCTGGAATCTTTGAATTTGGCTATATTAACTTGCACCTAACTAAATATATTTACAAGACTTTCAATTTCATAAATTATACCAACAACGTTAAGCCCTTGTTTGAGCCCCATTTTTCTTGGAATAATGACGTTTTGAATAGTGACTTTTTGAAGAATGTGTAGTTGAAAATGAATTTTTAAGTAATGCGTCTCAAACAATGGTTAAATTGGATAAAACTTGGTGTACATAATTTTATGTACACAAGGGTGTCCACACCCATGTGAGTATATGGACACCTTTGTGTACATCAAGCACAACCCGTCTAAATTATATCTTAAACGTTATTGTGTTGATAACGATAACCACGTTGTCTATGAATTCAGTTCATTCACGCAATATTAGATCCTATATTGATAGCTTGAATTTATTTCGTGAATTTTAATCATAGATTTAGATCTTTTATGATGGCTGTGGGGATGGTGGGAGTTGTATATAATCAAGCACGATGAGATGGCTGAAAAGGCATCTTTGTTGACGAATTCTGTGAAACATACTTTAGCTTATGAGTCAATTGCTAGTGGGAATTATTTGAAAGCGGTTGAATTCATGAAGTCGATATGCAGTTTGGATTCGAAGATGTCAAGATGTTCTTTATGAAACCGAAGCTCCATGTGCTACTCATTCGCTTGCACTTCTGCATCATACCCGGCTAGAAATAATAGGTCAGCTATCACTTGAATGTGTTTGCTCAATGCTTTTTCCTTCACTTATTCATCTTATTTTAGCTCCTTGATGGGGGTCTAGAATTGAAAAGGTTTGTATCATCTTTAGATTTTTCCTTTGATGTTCCCATCTCTCTACATGCCCCGTTCGGGTAATTTCTACATGCGAATTTATTTTGTAAACATGTCTTTTATCTTTTCTTTTTCAGCTAAACCTCGATAATGAACATGAGAAATTTTCCCTTGCAATTATAATTTGGTATATGCTTTCACCATGAGATGGAGATCACACATCTAACGCGCCAGCATCACCTTCAAAATAATTCAGCATGTGTATTGTAGGGGCAAAAACTATTATTTCAAAAAGAAGCATAATTACAAGAACAACACAAATAAACATATAGTTACAACTTACAATATTAGACACTTGCAACAACAATATATTATATATATTACACACACATATATATATATATGTGTGTGTGTGTGTACAAGCGGTGAAAATCTCAATATTCAAACAACAAATACTTCCTAATAAAATATACCTTAAAAAATATCAACAAATAAACATAATATAATACAAAATAATTAATAGAATCAATAAATTACAATTAATCATCAAAATCATAGCTATTGACATAGAAGAATCAATACTCAAGCATAAAAACAACATTTTGAACAGATAATCTAATTAATTGATGAGCATCATCATAAATTTCTTTGTAGGTTCTATACAACGCTTCTTCTACTTATCTTTTCTTGCATTTGAAAATAGACATTCTTGCTTTTCGCATAAACTCCTTCCTAAATTATCCGAGACCACATCTTTATCACGAATTTTATTAAAAATTTCTCATGATTGCCAAAACAATATTCCCATTTCAATAAAAAAAAATATCTAGTAAATATTTTATCATCCAAAACATTATACATAAAACAATAAAACTACAAGACAACAACTAATTTCAACACAATGAATGTACAATAAATAGAAGATGGAGGAACAAAAAAAATGAGAAGAAAAAAATAAATAATTCATAATTTCAAAAACAAAACATAGACTCCAAATTCCCAAAATAACACGAAATAAAATAATATATGGAATGATTTCTTACCAATCAAACGAAAGCCAAGCGAAATTTGCAAACTAATTAAAAAAAATAACAAATTTGGAAAAAAAAATAAAATAAAATAAAATTCTTGGCACCAACTTCAACTACAAGAAAGCGAAATATAACAACAGGGAAAACTACTCCATTAACTAAAACAATCATCGCATCAACGAAAACCCAAATCTGCTTGCAGAGTTTATGATAAAAATGTTGAATATATCAATAATTTGCATGCTCGAAAGTGGATTTTCAGTTATTATGTTTCTATTTTACCTAGTCCATAGGAGTTTGTTTTGCACGTTGAGTGTTGCCTATTTTCATGCTATTATTTGTTTGCATTTGACGATAAAAAGGCTTTTATTTGATGAATAAAGCCGAAAAGTAACAGTGCCCTTGCAATAAGCTATTCTCTCTTTTATCAGTAACAATTTTTCTGTTTTATTAGCAACGCTTGTTAAGATTTGAGATCCATCTTAATAAGGTCAACTTTATTAAGAGAAGTGATTCAATATCTATTTTAGTTAGTCAATATTTCGGTATTTAACCGATATGAGATTTATTCACTTAACATGCCCTTGTAAGATGGTGGCTCTTTTTGAGCAGATCAATCTTGAAATTTATGTGCCCGTTTTTGAGACTTAATCGGATCGAATAGCTCGTTGGAGCTTACTGGACTCTGATACCATATTAAGACTTGAGGTCCATCTTAATAAGGTTGACCTTATTAAGATGGATCATAAATCTTTACATGGTATCAGAACTCATTAAATTCTAACGAGCGATTCGATCCGATTATAAGCCTCAATTAATAAGCAACAGATTGCAAGATTGGTCTGCTCAAACAAGCCACCATCTTGTGGGGGTATGTTAAGGAATAAAAATCCTACATCGATTAAATATCGAAATATTGACCAATTTAAAAAGATCTTGGATCACTCCTTTTAACAAAATTGACCTTATTAAAATGGACCCCAAATTTTAACAACGCTGGTGTCAAAGCTTTGTTAAAGAAAGTAAGAAGAGGAAAAGTGAGTCAGAGAGAGTGAACTTGTAAGAGTCCTAAAAGTGTGAGATAGAGTGTCCATCCAAGCAACTTTATCTCTGTTTTTCTTTTCCTTTTTTTTTCTTTTTTTTTTTTTTTTTTTTTTCCTTTTTTTTTTTTTTTTTTTTTTTTTTTTGCCCCCTCCAAAGAACAGCAATAAACAAATGGCTTCTGAAATCTTTGTGCAATCGGCCCTGGCACCATGACGACAGAGGCACGGAGAACCATCCTAGAAGGATTGAAGCTAAAAGATCTAAAGGCAAAGAACTACCTCTTCCAAACAACTAATCGTTCTATCTTGGAAACCCAGCAAAGAAAGTTCCAAGCAGATTTGGGATTCTACAAAGAAAAAATTTCAGGGGACGGAAAAGGCAAAAAGGCAGCAGCTTCAACATCTCTGTACAAAATTTGAAATACTCGGTATGAAGTCAGGAGAGACCATATCTAATTTTTTTTCCGGAACAATGGCAATTGTTAACAAGATGCAAGTCCATAAGTAGAAGATAGAAGACATGATAGTGGTTGAGAAAATTCTTCAATCGTTGACGTTGAAATTCAATTATGTAGTTTGTTCAATTGAAGAATTTAAAGTAATATTTGATGAACTAGTAGGTTCATTACTGGTCGATGAACATAAAATGATCCAGCGAGATAAAGAATAGAACGCACTGCAAGTCTCCACCGACAATCTGTCTTCAACGCCATCTAGAGCCAATTGAGGAAAAGGCCGAGGTAGAAGATAAAATGACCGTAGACAACAACAAAAAATGAAGATAAACAAGTTCTTGATTCTCAAGGAAAAGGAAGAGGGAGAGGTCGAACAGTTACCATTCATCCACTTACAGACAAAAGTCAAAAGATAAGTCCAATATTGAGTGCTTTAGATGTCACATATATGGCCATTATTAGTTTGAATGTCGCACTAATTTGAATAAAGAACATGGTGAAAAATCTAACTTTGCAGATCAGCAAAAAAAAGTTGTCTCACTCTTAATCGCATGCCATGCAATGGAGGAAACTTCCCAAAATATGTGGTATTTGGACACCCACTCTAGCAATCATGTGTGTGGAGATAAGTCTATTGGAATAATTAATTATTCCATATGTAGGTTTCACATTGAATTGCAAATTTTACGGGTTAGATGTATGGTTCATAATGATATTTGTGTTTGGACCAAATTTATTAAGGATCAATTGGGCCTTTTACACCTTACGGGTTGTAATTAATTTTATGTGGTAGTTTAAAGTATGTGGGCCAAAAATAAATCCTAATTAGAATTCTAGTCGTAATGGGACGACTCAAATTATTTCCTATATATAAAGGCTAGGTCCCCTCTCCTCTCCATATGTTTTCATTAGCTTGCTCCATTGATAGCTAATACTTTTGTGAGGAGCAAGGAAGGGAAGATCTTGACTGCTATTACAACTACTATTCATATCAACAATGACTTCCGCAGGTATGAATTTGGTTTATTAATTTATTATTTGGTGATTCTTGATTCTTAGCATGATTACAAATTAAAATTCAACAATTGGTATCAGAGCCTTCATGCTAAGATCAGAATCATACACAAAAATAATATTCTATCTCGATTATTTTAAACTTTTGTTAAGCACTGTCCCAAAAAAAAAAATAATAATAATAATAATAATAATAATAATAATAATAATAATAATAATAAATTGGACGTTTGGCCTTCTGCACGCTTTTGTCACTTATCTTTGTCTTTTTGAATTTGTAATTCATAATTCTTCACATTCGTATACTGTTAATAGCATGGTTTAAGTAGAAAAATTTCAATTATAAGTAAATTTATGGATGATTATAAGTCTGAATAGACCGACACGTAGGCCCAACGTTCCATGAATTTGCATCTCTGAATTATGGTCTCAGGCTATTTTCGTTTTAGTTTCAATTGGGTTTTCATTGTGGATCCAGTAATATTCATATAATTGTGATGCAAAACTTGATCTAGAAACCATGTTACTAATATTAGTTTTTATTTAACATTATTCATCATTATCAGCATTATACTATACGATTACTGTGGTTCTTCAAGATTTTATTTTTTTTTTTATTTTTTTTTTGGTGGACTTCTTGTGTATGAAAGATCGGAAGTTTGCTTGACTGTGTCAAACCCAGTTGCTATTTGGGTGAGGCTCCGGCCGACTGCTACTTGTCTGGTTGAGGTGCCGGTCACACCAGGGGTGGAGCCCCATTAGGCCATCTGCCCGCACTGAACTTTTGGGCTCCAATAGGCCCAATTTATTTTTTTTGTTTGGGTAAAGCCTGTTTAATTAAAAAGGCCCAATTTCCCGACCCGACTTCTTGAATCAGTCCATGGGCCGTTTAGTGACCCGACCCGAACCGACCCGACTTCTTGAATCAATTATAACCCGTTCAATTCATGTTTCCAATTTCCAAACCCTTGCAAACTTGAAATCTTGAATCACGTCTCTCCTCTCTGCTCTCAACCGGTGCCGTCGCCGCTTCTCGCCAGTCGGCAACTACTCCAACTCGCAAGCGACGCCGACTCAACTTCCACTCTTCCAGTCCACCGCCAGGTCCGCCACTGCTACGAGCGTCTGCCACTGCTTCTGCGGCTCTGCCGAGTTCCGACCGAAGCTGGAAGTTGCCCAACGAAGAACTAAGAAGGTGATTGAAAGTTACCTTGCTTACCTAATGTATCTTTCAGTGAAGATGGAGTGTGGAAAATTCTGAAAATTGAAATTGTGAAAATTCTGAAAATTGAAATTCTGAATCACGTCTCTCCTCTCGCCTCTCGGGTTCTGCAGTCTACAGACTCTGCACTACTTAATTTAATAAATTTATGAATGTTAGTGTTAGTGTGTAATGTGTTACTGGTTAATTATTGAATATTGATGGTTCTCATTTCTCAACTCTCAATCTCATGGGTTTATATAAATTATATTTGATATTTCTATTGTGGAATTGGAATTTGGAAATGCTGTTAGCCTGGCTGTTACTCTGTTGTAGAGAAATTGATTAAGTTCATCTTTCTCAGCCCATCAAGGAGATTGCCCTGGCCATTTCTCTCCTGGTTTTTGGCGCGCTCGGAATCTTTCTTTCAGTTTCTTGGAATCTTGGTGCCATTATGGCCGTCAATAATGTCGGCAGTGACCACTGACCGCACCCACGGTAAATTTTCTATTGGAGTTTGAGTTTGAGTTTAACTGTTTTTATTGGTGTATTTATTGTGGGATTTCAACTTTCTTTCTAGTTCACTAAGTTAATGTTCTTTAATGATTAACTTAAGGGGGTTTTGAATAATATTCAGTAAATTAATAATCTTTAGTTATTAATTAAGCATTAGATATTTGGGGAACCCATTTCAATTTATATTGCAATTAGTTTTTCTTTAATAAATACTGCTGAAGTTATATTGATGCTACTATTGTTGATTATTATAGATATGTTTTCCATACAGACATGAGCATTTTTCTGATTATTATAGATATGTTTTCCTTTTGTCATTATGAATTATTCTCACTCACTTCAATTAATAATTGGATATCAAATGTTTAAATCCAGATATCAAATGAATAGATACTTTTAACGAAAAAGGAACGTAGATAGTGTTGATGAGGGGGCATCGAATAATGTGGATGTTGATGAGGGGGCATCGAATAATGTGGAGTTTGATGTCACAAACTTCCAACTGATCGTGGTCTAAGGATACCAATTTTGGATTACAATGCTAACATCCGAGATGAAGTTCGAAGAGCATATAAGTTAAAGGGTCCTTGTCAGCCCCAAGATCATGACTTTCCAAAACGACAATTTGGAGTAACAATTAGACGATTCAATCCTTCGTGGTTTAAAGAGTTCGGTAGTTGGTTGGAGTACAGTGTAGAGAAGGATGCTGCTTATTGTTTGTATTGTTATCTTTTCAGAACAAGTTCTGGAAAGCAAGGTGGAGGTGAGTCTTTTGTTGGCGAAGGTTTTACATATTGGAAAGATAAGAAAAGGCTTCATACTCATGTTGGACTTCATAATAGTGCACATAATTAAGCTCGCATTAAGTGTGAAGTGTTGATGAATCAAGAACAACACATTCAATCAGTTTTCTACAAACAGTCAGAACAAGCAAGAAATGCATATGTTACACGCCTTAATGCATCCATTGATTGTGTTCGAGTTCTTTTGCGACAAGGGCACTCATTTCGAGGTCATGATGAATCTGAGGATTCTTCCAATCCAAGTAACTTCTTAGTGCAATTGCAATTTTTGGCTGCTCATAATGAAGCTATCAATGCCGTCACATTGGGAAATGCTCCTCACAATTGCAAATTGACATCACCTGATGTTCAAAAGGATATAGTAAATGCTTGTGCTATTGAAACAATCAATGTTATTATCAAAGATGTTGGCGACTCACTATTTTCTATTCTAGTTGATGAATCTTGTGATGTGTCAATGAAGGAGCAAATGTCTATTGTTTTACGTTATGTAGACAATAGTGGGCATGTCAATGAACGCTTCATAGGGATTGAACATGTTACAAGTACCACGGCTCTATCACTTAAGGCTGCAATTGATAAGGTATTTTCTAGATATAATTTGAGTATGTCTAGATTGAGAGGACAAGGTTATGATGGAGCAAGTAATATGCAAGGTAAGTTTAATGGTCTGAAAACACTTATTTTGAAGGAGAGTCCATGTGCCTTTTACATTCACTGTTTTGCTCATCAACTCCAACTTGCGCTTGTGGCTGTGGCAAAGAAGAACATCCCTATTACTAATTTCTTTCGTGTGGTTGGGAACGTGATAAATACTGTTGGAGCATTTTCCAAGCATTGTGATCTTCTTCGAGAAAAATAATTAGACTTTATTGTTGAGGCATTGGAAAAAGGTGAGATTTTAAGTGGACGGGGACTAAATCAAGAAACGACCCTTCAGCGGTCTGGTGATACACGATGGAGTTCACATTATAATTCTTTGGTCAGCTTGCTTGCCATGTTCTCTTCTGTTTTAGATGTACTTGCAATGATTGTTGAAGATGAATCTTGTTCTTGTGATCAAAGATCTGATGCAACAAATTTATTGGAGTTGATACAAAGATTTGATTTTACATTTAATCTACAGTTGATGAAAAGTGTATTGGCGATGTCAAATGAACTGTCAAAGGCATTGCAAAGAAAATATCAAGATATTGTGAATGCAATGCAATTGGTGAGATTGTGCAAACGAAGACTCCAAATAATGAGAGACGAAGGGTGGGACTCCTTTTTTGAAGAAGTATGTTCTTTTTGTCAACAACATTACATTCATGTACCCAACATGGATGATATGTTTGTACGCCTTGCAATTCGTGGTCGCCCTCAGCGTAATTCTCCAGAAATTACAAATTTACATCATTATCGAGTAGATTTGTTCTACTCTGTCATCGATTTACAATTTCAAGAATAGAATGATCGTTTCTCGGAGGTAAACACAGAGTTACTCCTTTGTGTAGCTTGTTTATGCCCACAAGATTCATTTTCGTCTTTTGACAAGAAAAGCTTAATTAGACTTGCTGAGCTTTATCCATTAGATTTCTCTGCAGTAGATGGCATTGTACTTAACGATCAACTTGAGACTTATATTTTGGACATGCGCTCTAACAAAGAGTTTGAAGGGTTAAATGGCCTTGGTGATCTTGCGGAGAAGTTGGTTTTGACAAAGAAAGATAAGGTATATCCATTGGTTTACAGACTTTTGACTTTAGCATTGATTTTACCGGTTGCTACCGCTACTGTGGAGAGAGTTTTTTCAGCAATGAACATCGTAAAGAATAGATTGCGCAATCGGATGGGTGATCAGTGGATGAATGATAGCACTATTGTTTATGTAGAGAGAGATATATTTTTGAAACTCGATAATGAAGTTATTGTACGACGATATCAAAATATGAAAACTCGCAAGGAACAAGTTTAATATATAAATTATGTCATTTTTAGTGTTGTTGTAATATTGTTTTAATTTTTTATCATCATTAAATCTATGACCAAAACCTCGAAGTTCGGCGTCGAAAAATGATGTCCGCACTGAACATAAATCCTGGCTCCGCCCTTGGGTCACACCATCCTTTGAAATTAAAAAAAAAATCTGGATTTTCGTCTGAGAAACAGGCTGCATAGAGGGAGACGGGGGCTCCTATTATAAATATCTATCTTTCTCGCCCCTGTTTGCAATTAAGTAATTGGGGTGATGCTGCAATTTTTGAAAGATGGGTCTTTTCAGTAATATGGAAATTAGAAAGGCTTTGTTTTGTTGTTTTAACTAAGGTCGAAGAGCAGTTTTTGAAAAGGGGTTAAATTTGAATTTTGATATTGGATTTAGAAGTCTTGACCTTAATATTTCAATTTTGACCATAATTAAATCTTTAATTAAAATTGACCCGTTTAAAATTGTATCAAAATAATTAATTAAATAATAAAAATAAAATTAATTGATGACTTTTATATTTTCGTCAAAATGTTTATATATATTCAAATGTTGCTATTTTTGTATCCTTAAATTTAATTTTTCATATATTTTGAAATTTTGTTGCCAATTTCATCTCTCAATCACATATGAATTTTGCCTTTTATCGATTGATTATGATTTGTTGTATAATTATTGTTCTGTGATTGAATTTTTCATAGGCATTAAGATGATTTTCATTTTCCCACAAAGAGAAATATTTTGAAATAAAAATGGGTGGTAGCTGCCAAAGTGGCACACTCATTATTATTTATTCAATTTTCTCTACAATAAAATATATATATATAAGTATTTTGCACAACAATTTGATTTATTGCATATAACATCTTGCCCAAAGATGTTGTTATATGTGATATTTTTGGAAAATGACATAAGACAGTTAACGAGCTTATTTGGTTTAAAAATTTCCTTCTGCCCAAAGGTGTTGGAATTTCGAAAATCAAGGCAATTTTGTTAACTAGCTACATAATGTGTTTTAAGAGTACCTTATAGTATGTTGTATTGTCGACCCAAAGATGACTTTATGATGATACATCTAGGCTCTTACCGTAATAAAATTTATATGTTTCGATTTAAATTACGGATTATCGAATTAATAGCCCATATTAATTAGTTGGATATTTCATCATCCATTTGATTGCATGCATTAAGTTTGGATGATATAAGGAGTGATATTTTATATTTCCACAGTTTATAATGCCTCATCTCTTTCGAATCAATTGTCTGCTATTGAAACTTTGACTGGGAATAACTATGTGAGATGGAAACGAGACGTAGAAATAGCACTTGGTCTTTTGGGCTTGGATTTTGCAATGGAGAAAAAGCTTGAAAAATCCCCAGATAAGAGTACCGTTAAATATGTAGCCGAGCATGAAAAGTGGGAAAGGGCTAACAAACTCTGTTTAAAAATCATTAAGCGATCGATATCTGATTCCATTCTAGGTGCCATCCCTGATAATGAAAATGTCAAAAGGTTTATGGATGCCATAGGAGAAAAATTTGTTGAGTCTGATAAAGCCAAAACTGGGGATCTGATGGATAAATTGATGAGCATGAGATATGATGGCACAAATGGTGTTAGGGAGCATGTCATGAAAATGATAAATATATCATCTAAGCTAAAGGCTCTTGACATTCCCATTGCGGAGCCTTTCCTAGTCTATCATGTTTTTAATAGCCTTCCTAACAAGTTTAATCAGCTCAAGGTTGCTTACAATGCTCAACGGGATAAATGTAATTTGAATGACCTCACAGCAATGTGTGCCCAAGAAGAGTATAGGATGCGCCGTGAAACTGTTGAAACTGTACAATTAGCTCTTCAGCCATCACAGAATAAGGGGCCTTCTCATAATCATAAACCTAAGTTTCGTAAGGGTAATAAGTCCCATCGAAGTCAGCAGAATAAAAATTTTAGTGGTCCCAAAGCAATTATAAAGAAAAATGATCAATGCAAGTTCTGTAAAAAGAAGGGTCACTGGCAGAAAGACTGTTTTAAGTTCAAGACTTGGTTGGAAACGAAGAAGAGTTCTTCAGGTATTCCCTTGGCCTTAGTTTATTTTGAGTCTTCTTTAGTAGATGTACCTTTGAATTCTTGGTGGTTAGACTCGGGAGCTGGTATTCATATTGCGAATTCCTTGCAGGGGTTCATAAGCAAACGGAGGCCAAGTGAGAATGAAGTAAACTTGAGCGTTGCAAATGGATTCCAAGTGAAGGTTGAATTCATAGGAGTAGTGAAGTTAAGTTTAGAGTCTGGTTTTTATCTTGTTTTGGAAAATACAGTTTATGTACCGCAGATGAGATGAAATTTAATTTCTATACCAAAACTTGATGCTTGTGGTTTTACATTTAATTTTGGTAATGGAATGGTTAAGTTATTTAATGATTCTCCTTTGATAGGGAATGGTATTTTATGTGATGTTTTATATAAATTATCTTTGGCTTCTTTTGGTGATGTCTCGTGTGTTACAAATGTATCAAAGAAAAGGGCTTTAATTCTTGAATCATCCTCTATGTTGTGGTATAAGCGATTGGGTCATATTTCTAAGGATGGAATGGAAAGATTAGTAAAAGATGAGATACTTCCTTCCTTAGACTTCTCCGATTTTAACACATGTATAGATTGTATAAGAGGAATGTTAACTAAGTCTACGAGGAAGGGTTCGATTAGGAGTAATGGAATTTTTGACTTAATTCACACTGATATCGATGGACCTTTACTTTCCACTATATGCGAGAATAAATATTTCATAACTTTCATTAATAATTTCTCACGATATGGATATGTTTATTTGATTAATGACAAATCACATGCATTTGAGAAATTCAAAGTTTTCAAACTGAAAGTAGAGAAACAATGTGGGAAAAATATCAAAGTTGTAAGATCTGACCGAGGTGGTGAGTGCTATGGGAAATATGACGAGTCTAGTCAAAATATGGGTGATTTTGCAAAATTTTTACAAGAGTGTAGAATAGTGCCCCAATACACCATGACAGGGACACCTGAGCAGAATGGTGTTTCTGAAAGACGTAATCGAACTCTAAAAGATATGGTTAGAAGTATGATGAGTAGAACAAATTTGCCTGAATATTTGTGGGGTGAAGCATTGAAAACAACTATGTATATTTTGAACAAAGTTGCAAGTAAAGCTGTTGCAAAGACACCTTTTGAATTATGGACAGGACGTAAGCCAAGTATGGCTCACTTTAAAGTTTGAGGATGTCCAGCTGAGGTTAGGATTTATAATCCATTTGAAAAGAAATTAGACCCTAAATCAACTCCTGACTACTTTATTGGGTATCCGGATAAATCAAAGGGATATAAGTTTTACTGTCCAAATCGCGGCACTAGAATTGTGGAGTCCATTACTGCTAAGTTTCTGGAGAACGATTTTGGAGATAGTGGGAGTTCCACGTTGAGAGAAATTCTTGTTGAACCTAATCAAGTTGTAGTTCCAGTTCCTGTCATACAGGAAAGAGTTGGTTCTCAACCAATTGAAATTGTTGATGAAGAACCGAGGAACCAGGAGGAATCTCCAATTCCTCAAACAACGATTGAATTTGTTCCTGAGCCACAAGTTAGGAGATCACAAAGGGAAAGAAGATCTGCATTGCCCAGTGATTATATTGCATATTTATTGGAGAGCGATTTTAATATTGAGCATATTGTTGATCCTGTAACTTATAACCAAACATTGACAAGTCGTGATGCAGATAATTGGATAGCTACCATGGAAGATGAAATGAATTCCATGGAAAGGAATAAAGTTTGAGATCTTGTTGAACTTCCTCCATATGCTAAGGCTGTAGATAACAAGTGGATTTTCAAAAGTAAATTAGATTTAAAAGGAAATGTTGAACGAAAGAAAGCAAGATTAGTTGCAAAAGGTTTCACTCAACGAGAGGACATTGATTATGTTGAAACCTTCTCCCCTGTTTTATCGAAAAATTCTTTTCGAATTATCATGGCTCTTGTGGCACACTACAATTTGGAGTTTCATCAAATGGATGTTAAGACATCATTTTTGAATGGAGATCTTTCTGAAATGGTTTATATGAAACAATCTGAATGTTTTGTTGTAAAAGGAAAAGAAAATTTGGTGTGTAAGTTAAACAAATCCTTATATGATCTCAAGCAAGTATCTCGACAGTGGTATTTGAAGTTTAATGAGGTTGTGACATCTTTTGGTTTTGTTGAAAATACTATTGATCAATACATTTATCTTAAAACCAGTGGAAGAAATTTTATTTTCCTTGTACTGTATGTTGATGACATTCTGCTTGCTAGCAGTAACTTAGGGTTGCTTCATGAGACAAAGAAAATGTTGTCTACTAATTTTGAGATGAATGATCTTGGAGAAGCTTCCTATATACTTGGCATTGAAATACATCGTGATAGAAATCGTGGCTTATTGGGACTTTCTCAGAAAGTTTATATACGACGTGTTTTAGAAATGTTTAATATGCAAAATTGTGCACCTGGTGATGTACCTATCATAAAAGGAGATAAGTTTAATAAAACTCAATGTCCAAAGAATGAGCTGGAAAGGGAGTCTATGAAGATGATCCCATATGTTAGTGTTGTGGGAAGCTTGATGTATGCTCAAATTTGCACTAGACCGGATATAGCCTACGCAGTAAGTGTCCTTAGCAGATTTCAGTCTAATCCAGGACAAGAGCATTGGAAAGCAGTTAAGAAAGTTATGAGATATTTGAAGAAAACTGAAAGTTATATGCTTACATTCCAGCGTACAAATCATCTTGAGGTGGTAGGATATTCAGATTCTGATTTTGCTGGATGTCAAGATGATTTGAAATCAACCTCAGGTTATATTTTTACATTAGCTGGTGATGCCATTTCTTGGAAAAGTGTTAAACAGACTTTAGTGGTATCTTCTACTATGCAGGCTGAATTTGTGGCATGTTATGGGGCTACAATCCAAGCCGTTTGGTTAAAAAATTTCATCTCTGGCTTGAAAGTTGTTGATTCCATCTCAAGACCGATCACCATCTACTGTGATAACAGTGCAGCATATTCTTTTCAAAGAATAATAAAAGTTCTGGTGGATCAAAACATATTGACATCAAATATTTGGTCGTTAGAAACAGAGTCAAAGAAGGGCAGACGAAAATAGAGCATATCAAAACAGAGGCGATGGTTGCAGATCCCTTGACTAAGGGACTCCCTCCAAAAGTCTTTAAGACACATGTTACTAATATGGGTATTGTGGAAACATTTGATATTTTTGGTTAGTGAGAGTTATTTATGTAAAGAACTACATTTTGGGCTTGACCCCTTTACGGGGTACGTAGGCAATCCATATGTTTTTGGGTACAGCCCCTTTTGATAATAAAATAATTTTTCCCCTATTCATGAACTATTTTAAGCATGCATTTGACTTATGGCTTTTTATATTATTGATATCTTGAAATATGACGTATAAAGACATAAGATGAGTCTCTTTTAGAGACATGTGACTTAATTTTGATTTGAAGCATTATGAGGATCGATATGAGTTAGCACAGTTTTTGATAACATTTGGTGCTAAGTTCATACCACATACTACCACATTGGTTGGAGGATGGGGATCCATGTCGATGAGGATGTTGATATTTGTAACTATGGAAGGGTCTTACATCTCTTAAATTGGTGTAATGACTTCCATGTTCAGTGTTAATATTCTTATAGGACCTGATCATGTTACGTAAGGTATCATCATTGGAGCTATACTTTTGTGACCACTTATGTAGTCTAACCCGGGTGTTAAAACTTTGTTATGGCAATCAAATGTTTGCCCAAGTGGGAGAATGTTGGAATAATTAATTATTCCATATGTGGGCTTCACATTGGATTGCAAATTTTACGGGTTAGATGTATGGCTTATAATGATATTTGTGTTTGGGCCAAATTTATTAAGTGATCAATTAGGTCTTTTACACCTTACGAGTTGTAATTAATTTTATGTGGTAGTTTAAAGTATGTGGGCCAGAAATAAATCTTAATTAGAATTCTAGTTGTAATGGGACGGCTCAAATTATTTCCTATATATAAAGGCTAGGTCCCTTCTGCTCTCCATATGTATTCATTAGCTTGCCCCATTGATAGCTAATACTTTTGTGAGGAGCAAGGAGGGGAATATTTTGGCTGCTATTACAACTACTATTCATATCAACAATGGCTTCCGCAGGTATGAATTTGATTTATTAATTTATTATTTGGTGATTCTTGATTCTTAGCATGATTACAAATTAAAATTCAACAAAGTCATCATTTTCGAAGATAGATGGATCCTTTTAAAATACTTTAAAGTTTGGATATAACTCTACAGTTTCTGTTATAGGCAAAGGAAATGTAACAACTTGAACCAAAGAGAATTCTACTTCCTTTTTCCAGACTTGACAATAAATTTACTTAGCATTGGACAACTTCAAGAGAAAGTATATAAGATTGTTACTAAGGAAGGAGAATGTCGAATTCAAGATTCAAAGAAAGGCCTAATTGCTCAAGTCAACATGACCCAAAATTGTATGTTTCCTTTGTATATCCATAATACTACTAATTTGTGCTGCTCTGCTAAGATGAATGATGTTTCATGGCTTTGGCATTTTCATTATGGACATCTGAACTTTGGTGGACTCAAGGCATTACAACTGAAAAATATAGTAGCTGACCTTCCTAAAATTGAATGCCCTTAACAAGTTTGTGAAGAATGTGTTATTAGCAAATAACATCATAACAAAAAAAAAAAAAAAAAGCATTAGAAATGGTGCATTCATACCCTTGTGATCCAATAAATCCACCTTCCAATAGAGGTAAAATTGATGATTTTAGTCGGAAAAAAATGGGTCTATATTTTGCAGGAGAAATCTAAAGCTTTTACTACCTTCAATATGGTGCTGGTTGAGAAAGAAATGGGTAGCCTGATCAAAGTTCTTCATATAGATCATGGCAGAGAATACATCTCACAAGAATTCGCAAATTTTTACAACTTACTACAGCTTACACGACTTAACAAAACGGTGTTTATGAAGAAAAGAATCGCATGATTCTTAACATAGTACGAAGTATTTGGGCAAGGAGTGAGGCTCCTCAAATTTTTTGGCTTGATTGGAGCTGTTAATTGGAGCATTTATATATTGAACAGAAGTCCCACACTTTCTGTTCAAACTATGACACTTGAGGAAGTATGGAGCGGGTGCAGATCAGCTGGAGATCATTTCAAAATGTTTGGGTGTATTGCTTATGCTTATATCCTAGATGAGAAGAAGAGAAAGTTAGATGACAAAGGAGAAAAATGCTTTTTTCTTGGTGTTAGTGAACAATCAAAAGCTTATAAGCTCTATAATCCTAGCACCAAGAAAATTGTCATAAGTAAACAAGTGCAAGGGACGCTTAGTAGCTAAAGGCTATAAGCAAGAGTTTGGGGTGGACTATAGTAAAGTTTCTGCTCCAGTAGCATGACATGAAATAATCAGACTGGTGATCGCATTGGCAGCACAAAACTCATCGGCTATCTTCCTATTGGATGTAAAATTGGCTTCTTACATGGCGATTCGGAAGAACATGTATTTATTGATCAACATCTTGGTCATATTAAGGTCGGAAATGAGCAGAAAGTTTATAAATTAAAGAAAGCTTCGTATGGATTAAGACAAGCTCCACGAGCTTGGTATAGTCGGATTAATGCTTATTTTTTGAAGGAAGGTTTTAAAAAATGTCCATATGAGCACAACTTTTTGTTAAAGTTGGTGATGAAGGAAAAAAATGCTCATTATTTATTTTTATGTGTATGATTTAATCTACCTTGGAAAAGATAGTGTCGTGTTTGAAAAATTTAAGAAGTTCATGATGGTTGAGTTTGAGATATCTGATCTTGGAATAATGCATTATTTTTTGGGTATTGCATTAGAATAATAGCTGTGCTACCTGCACAGGCTTTTTTGCACAAAGCCTGTACAGGTGCATACACATGGGGGTGGATCCCACACATGGGATCCACCCCCATGTGAGAGCCCCTGTACAGGTCCTATGCAAAAGGGCCTGTGCAGGAGGCTTTTTCCTTAGAACAATCTACTGTTGGGATTTTTATTTCTCAAAATAAATATGTGCGAGAAATATTAGACAAGTTTAAAATGACCTATGGAGATAGGATTGAAGCTTATTAAAAACTCTAAATGAAGAAATGTAGACAGTACTCTTTACAAACAAATTGTGAAATTTTAATGTATTTGATAGCAACAAGTACAGATATAATGCATGCCATGAGTCTCATTAGTAGGTACATGGAGCACCCAGGAGAGATGCATCTTCTAGTTGCCAAGAGAATTTTTCGATACTTGCGAGGAACCATGGAATATGGATTTTTCTGTAAAAACGGTGAAAAGTTAGATTTGTTTGGACAGTGACTATGTAGGTGATCTTGATGATAGAAAGAGTACATCTGGCTATATTTTCATGAAGGGTTCAGCAGTTGTTTTGTGGTGTTCAAGTAAGCAACTTATTGTTACTTTATCAACAACCAAAGTTGAGTTCGTAGCTGTAACATCTTGTGCTTGTCATGCCATTTGGCTAGAGAAAATTCTTAAAAAGCTAGATTTCGAGCAAGAAGGGCCTACTGTCACTTATTGTGACAACAGTTCAACAATAAAGATCTCAAAAAATAAAGTTCTACAAGGTCGAAGCAAGCATATAGTTGTGCAATATCATTTTTTAGAGATCTTACAAATGACGGAGTCATTAACCTAATTTACTGATATTCTAACAAGCCTCTCAAATTTCCTATATTTCAAAAGCTCGGGAAGTTGCTTGGTATCAGCACTTCAAAGAGTCAATTAGAAGGATGGTGTTGCAAAATCTGACCTTTATCAAACTGAATGCTATCTTTGGAACATTAGTTTAAGGGAGGGATTGTTGAATAAATCAATAATTTGTGCTCAGAAGTTTGGGTTGTCCTAGTCTTTAAGATGTTCTGTTATTTTGTTTCTAGTTTACCCAGTCCAAAGGAGTTTGTTTTGCACGTTGAGTGGTGCCTATTTTCATGTTATTAAATGATTTGTCTATATTAAGGCTGTTTGTTTGATGAATAAAACACATAAGTAAACATTTCCCCTGCAATATGCTTCTCTCTCTTTTATCAGTAACACTTTTTCTCTTTTATTAGTAATAAAAATAAAAAGTCCGTAATGTTAGTCAAAGTCAAGTAATCGTCACAACACCTAATAGGAAAAAAAAAAGATGCAACAATTTGAAACCAATTCCAGAAAGACACATTCAAAAAATCAAAAGGATTGTACTGTGTGTACAAGGGAGGGGGGGACACACACACGCTAGGGGTGGGTGGTTTTTTTTTTTTTTTTTGCAATATTTTACTCGCATAAGATCCATCCATGTGAGTATTCTAGATGAGTTCTATGAACCCCTCCTTGTACACGCAAACTAATTTAAATTAAAAATAAAGGAAATAAACATGCTCCAAGCCAACTATAAATGACTTTTACAGAAACAATTCCCAACAACGGCAGCAAATCGACCCAAGAAAATGTAACCTACAAAGGTAAATACAAAGGAAGCAATAAACAACTCTTCCTCAGATAAATAGGCTGAAGAACACTAGAATATCACACAAATCGCCTCTCATCATAGAAAAAAAAATATAGAGAGAGAGAACCAAATAACGTTACAAGCCACTAAAAATTCACATTATATGACAACTACAAAAGACAATGTTGTAGAAGTAAGCTATGACATTTCGACTTCTCAATGTAAAGAGAGTAACAAAATTATTAATCACATCAGGTGATGAATAGGAGCCAAAGTAGTTGCCATCATCAGGTGAGGAATGAAGACTAAAATAATTCTTATTAAGTGGTTGGTCTTTCTTTCAAACTCAACTCTAAATTCGAATTTTTGAATCTTATTCGACTGTAACAAGCACAAAAGGTAATCTTTCAAAACCAACAATGGGAATGACACACAAATAAACATAAAATGCGTCAATTGATACAACGTTTTATATCAACTTCAAGCACAACATCATCAATGCTTGAGGTCAACGCAAAAGTTCAACATTTGGTCTCAAAAGGTTTAGATGGGCAAGCACTTGCATTCTACCAAGAACAAGTCCACCCTTTTTTCCCTGCAAACACAGCCACCACCTTCATTCTTCCGTCAATCATCAAAGCCTGTGCCCATTCTCAAACCCACCAAATTTTGGGCCTTCAGATACACTGTAATGTCCTCAAAATTGGGTTTAAGTCTGAATCTACGGTCTCAAATTCACTCATCTCAATGTATGCAAAGTTTTCAGACACGCAGAGTGCGTACAAGATGTTCGACAATATGCCTCATAGAGATACCATTTCCTGGAATTCCATGATTAACTGCTGTATTCAAAACGGGTTTCTCTTGGAATCATTAAAGATATTTAAGGAGATGTATATGCATGGTTTTGTGCCGAAATCTGAGCTGATTGCCAGTGTTCTCTCAGTATGTGTTAAAAGCGAGTCTTGGTGGTTAGGAAGAGCAATACATGCTCTTGTTACTGTTGATGAGAGAATAGAGAAATCGGTTTTTGTGTTGTCTACGTTGGTGGATTTTTACTGGATGTGTGGCAATTCAGATATGGCATTTCGTGTTTTTGATAGAATGGGGGAGAAAAATGAAGTCTCGTGGACTGCTATGATATCTGGATGTGTTAATGATCAAGATTACATGAACGCACTTGATTTATTTGGTGAAATGCAGGCAAATAATCTCAAGCCTAACAGAGTGACTTTGATTAGTATATTACCAGTTTTTGCTGAGCTAGGCTCAATAAAGCATGGGAAAGAGATTCACGGGTATGCTTTTCGACATAGTTTTGATCCAGAATCTCATTTTTCAACAGCGCTTGTGCACGTTTATTCTGAACGTAGGGGAGCATTGCAGTATGCTAAGCTTATTTTTGATAAGTGCACGAGGAAAGATGTAGTGATGTGGAGTGCTATGATTTCAGGCTATTCCCATAGTAAAGATTGTACTAGAGAAGCTATTAGGTTATTTGGTGAAATGCAGATGGAGGGAATTCGACCCAACAGTGTTACTCTATTGGCCATGATTTCTACATGTACTAATCTTCTATCACTAAGCGATGGCTGTGGAATCCACAGCTACACCTTGAAGTGTGGCTAAGAGATTCACGGGTATGCTTTTCGACATAGTTTTGATCCAGAATCTCATTTTTCAACAGCGCTTGTGCACGTTTATTCTGAATGTAGGGGAGCATTGCAGTATGCTAAGCTTATTTTTGATAAGAGCACGAGGAAAGATGTAGTGATGTGGAGTGCTATGATTTCAGGCTATTCCCATAGTAAAGATTGTACTAGAGAAGCTATTAGGTTATTTGGTGAAATGCAGATGGAGGGAATTCGACCCAACAGTGTTACTCTATTGGCCATGATTTCTACATGTACTAATCTTCTATCACTAAGCGATGGCTGTGGAATCCACAGCTACACCTTGAAGTGTGGCTTGAATTCCAACTTGTTTATTCAAAACGCCCTTATTAATATGTATTCAAAGTGTGGTAGTCTTGAAGATTCTGTTCAAGTATTCAAGGAAATGAGGATAAGGGATTTTGTTTCATGGAGTGCGATTATTGGTGCATATGGACTTTACGGTTATCCAGAGGAAGCGTTGCGACTCTTCTACGAGATTCAAGGGAGTGGTATTAAGGCGGATGAAATAACGTATCTTGCTATTTTATCCGCCTGCAATCATGCTGGTTTTGTAGAAGAGGGACTAAAGATTTTTGACGAAGCAATAAAAGACGTAAATATATCTTTAACAGTGGAGCACTATACGTGCTTTATTGATCTCCTTGGAAGGGCAGGAAAACTCGATGATGCATATGATGTCATTGGCAGAATGCCAATGAAAGCGAACGCAAGAATGTATAGTTCCTTAGTTTCTGCTTTTAAACTTCATGGGAGACTCGATCTTGCAGGATTGCTAGCACATGAACTTGTTAGATCAGAACCTGAGAATGCTGCCAATCATGCTTTGCTAAGTATGGTTCACGCTGAATCTGGTAACTGGCTTGGGGTGGAGGAAGTGCGGAGAGACATGAAGGATAGAAAAATAAGAAAGAACTATGGTTTTAGCAAAATTGGCCTACATGAAAGGAGCTTGTAATGGATACTAAACACGCGTAGAGCTGTCAAACGGGCCTAGCAACCATTGGCCAGGAACAGCCCAACCACCGGCACCCATCTCGGCCCACATACAATGGCAGGCCATAAGAGTTCAGTCTCGCCAAAAATCGTGTGGCCTGTCTCTGCCACAAGGGCTGGGCCAGACAAGAAATGCTACAATGAGAGGGATAACATAATCAAAAATGATTCTTGTACGAGGGAAATGCATAGGGAGTTCCATGGGTGCTGAGATGATAGTACCTAATTAACAGTTTTAACTATGTTTTTGTTGTCCAAAATCCAATGAAATATTGTCATGTAACATTCTGTAATTCCCTACAAATTTTCCTTGTACATGTCGCATTGCTCATTCCTGGTGATCTCTTTGCATGTGAGGTAGCAGTGGAAACCCTTGATTTTCAAGGCTAAAGAGAAGAATATCTGGATCTTATTAGTGAACATCAAACCCCACCTTTTGTAGCCTTTGATCAAGTTTCTGTTGATTATGTGGAATCTGGTCTGTGATTGGTGGCTTCAGATAGTACAGGTTTACAATTGTAAATGTATAATAACCTTTGAAATGACTACTTTTAAACTCAAACAATGCTGACAGCGAAAGAAATTTTTCATGCCGAAAAATTAAATAAAAAAATTGGAAGAAAAGTAGAACCTAACCTTTAACAAATGAAAGAAGCAGGCACAGACAACTAACTAGGCTTCTTATAATTTGTCAAAAATAACGTGAACTTCCTGCATTTACGTGATTTAAGCAGTGATGAGGTTGCCTACTGCAAGTATTTAAAAATGATGAACATAGAACAATCAGTTATGATAAAATAAAAATTATTTATAAAATCTCATCCTCTTGTAGAATTGTGATTTCTTAATGAAAATACGCATGTATTTTATGGGTAATGAGTAGGATAAAACTTCCAAAGTAGAAAAACTCCAGCAGGTTTAGAACCATAAATATTAAACTGCCAATGGATCGAGAACCTTATAAATAATTCAACTACACTACACAGAAGAACTGTTTCATGCATATCAAAACACGATTGCAAGAAAGACAACAGACAATTATGCATTGTTTGTCAACGGTGGATGCAGTTGCAATGCTCCGTTGCGCAGAACTCCAATGTTGACTATCGTTTCGCCTGGCAAAAACACACAAATGCTATTAGCTCATAATGATTTATACATCGATGTTTCTTGACTTAATTTCGTGTAACAAAAATAGAAAGCTGTGATGAGCAGTAAATATTAGCTATGAAGTCTCATAATGATGACACATTTTGTTATGTGAAGATAGATACAAACATCAAGTTTTGGAAAAAAAAAAAAAAAAAAAAAAAAAAACCTGTTAAAAAAATAAAAATGCAAAAAT